GCATTTGATTCTAATGAACCAGTATCTTGGGGTAGAGAATGTCAACATTACCTCCCAGCAGATGATTTATATGCACAGAAAAGCTCAAGAACCACTAACTCAACAACAGTAGAGATAATTTAGCAGAAAAACTATGCCAGGTATCCTCTACTAACAAGAGATTACTCTCCCAAATTTCTGTTCTTCCTGAGTTTACCTTTTAAATACTTGACATGGCATTCTAGCTAAGCATTCTCAATGTATGTTAAATCATAATGTTCTTAAAAGATTCGAAGATTAAATAGGTCACAAGTACAGTATTAGCCTACATTAAAATCCTGGATTAGATAGCAAGTAGAAAAGAGTAAGGTTATTTATTGCAGCTTTAGTGTGGGCTCACAAAATGACCATTTATACCAGTACAAATTCCAATTTGATAAGCAAAACTCAGAATTTATACCTAAAATCAAGTATTGTGTATAGGAAAGCAGGATACTGATTCAAGGAGGTAGAAGTGTGATTGCAGTTATTTTTATCATCCATCTACGTATTTATTTTTATACTTTCCTTATACTTTAACCACCAAAATTATATGGACTATGGAGTTAGGTTGATCTAGGTCCTTGGAGGATTACATTCTCTGTTGTGCTACAACATGGAAATGGTGTTTGATTTGGCTGAAGAAGTAATTCATTTGTACTTAAACAGGCTCATTCCTAATTCCTTCAGTGTAACCATTTTGAGAGAGTGAGCCAAAGGAAAAGAGAGGAGGAAATCACATATTTCACTCATAAGCCAAGAAGCTATAAGTAAATACTCCACTGAGGAAACATTACGAATCTATACAAGTAAATATTTGTCACAGAAGATATAGAACTATTTCTTAAATAGGACTTAGCAAAAAATATACGTAGGGTTATTTTTATAAGCATAATTTTTCTTCATGAAGAGTTATTGGACTTACAAATCATTAAGGAACTATGGCATAAATTGTTCTGTAAACCCAAGGAGCCCTGTTGTCCTTCAAATCAATCTAGTTTGTGAATTAGATTTTGGATGAGTTTCTAAAGCATAGTGAACTTTTTGCTTAACTGTCTGTGAATCTAGGGATTCCCATTTGGCAGAAATTCACTTGTGCTGGCATTTTCATATTCTGAGTAACTATTATTTCAGCAAGTTAATTGAGAAAAATAATTAAAGGAAATCAAGTGGGAGCCTGGAAGCTCAAAAATTCAAAGAAATAACCTACCACAAGTTGCTAAACTCACAAAATTCTTCAATATATGTATCCAATATATGGAATATACTGAAAGAGGCCTAAAATAAGTCCAAAGTTTGTTAAGTAAAAAGTTGCATTGCTAGTGTGGGGCCTATGCATAGATCAGGTAGGTTGCCTATCAAAAATTATGCTCTTAGCCAACATTAATTCTACCTAACCATGGACTAATGTGATTGTGAAAGTAAAACATATCCAAAAATCTACTTTGAAATATAGATGCCAATGAAATATATCCACTATTATATTTTTCAGGAAAGTGCTCATTTCATTTATTTAGTAGTTAATGGCATGACCGAGTAAAGTTTCAAAAGTAGAATGGTACTTGGACATTACCAACTCAGGAGATCACCAAGTCCTGTGTCATAATGCACCTTACACTAATACTTTTCACATTCTACCTTGCAAAATAATTACTTGAGGCCTGTTAAAACACAAATCTGTCTACAGAATAGTGAGATCAGATTAGCTGATCTTTAAGAATCGTTCTGGTTTACCTTCTGAAATGACTCCATCAAACCTGTTCCTGTGTTTATCTTTAAGAAAAATGTTACATAATTTGTCATTAAGAGTCACTCAAAATGTATGCTTAAAAAAATTCAAACAATTCAATATTAGGTATTTTTATTAACAAACTATTTATTATCAAGACTGCATGTGGAGTTGTTTAAACTTAAAAAAAGGTTATTTTATAGCACACTAAACATGAGTGCTCTGTGTAAGGAAAATTATTTTCTACTTTCTAATTTGAAAGTTGTTTGTATGTGTAGTACAAAATTAAACTTACTGTACATCAGTGTAAATGAACTTTCCTCAACTACTAACACATCCTTACAATTTAAAGTGTTAAGAATTTAGAAGAAGGAAACAAACCCAAGCATAAAGAAAACTGTTTAAGGAACTCTATTGTGAGTTCTCTAACTCTGCACATTTGAATAATGAAACAAGTATTGAATGTTATAACACACTCCTTGACACAAAAGAAATTATCTCATGTAACAAAAATTACCAAATATCATAATACCAAATAATATAGATGAATTATTTCCTATATTATCTTATCATAGAAGATGTATTATTGCCTGTTTCTACCTATATTGCGTAATTAGAATGTAGAATTCCAATATTTTAGAAGACATTTACTTTATCAGACTATAGTACAAGTACATATAAAGTAATAAAAAGACTTTCATTACATATGAAAAAGTTATTTCAAGTAGCTGGTAATGTGATTGCATGCAAATGCTAGCTGTGATTCCAAGTTCAGGTTACTTTTTGTTTTGTCTTATTTTTGCAAAGCTAGCCTATTTTATATGTTTGAATTTTTCTTTGATTATATATATCTATTCACTGATCAGATGAAAACATGAAACACCTTGAATTCTATTGTGCTAGCCTTTGCTGCTTTACCATGTGAACTTTAAATTGTACTAATTAATTATGATGGGCTTGTTTTTCTTTATTAACTATGACATTTTTATTACCAGTTTTTTTATTACCAAAGTTACAAGTCCTTCCTGAACCCTTTAAGTAAACTCCAATAAGAAAACTGTTTTCTCCAAGATTTTGTTACTTTACAGAGTAGATTCTCTGGGGAATTTCTAAAATTCTCTTTAAATATCCGTATCTAATTTCTTGCTCACAAATCTCAAAGGCATAGTTTCAGCAACAGCAAAATAATAATAGCCCTGTTATTATTACAGAAAAAAGCATGGTCTTGGATGTTGAAAAGAATCAACCCCCCTCTTGGTTTAATATGTTTCTGATACAAAAGTAAAGGAGCCCTTCCCAATCTCCTCATAAGATTTCTATGAATTAAAATACTCTCAGTGAAATCTCTTTTCCTAAAGACAAACTGGAAGTTACTTTAATAGTCCAATCTTCTAAATGAAACAAATACACAAAATGCAAAAATGAGATAATTCAGCATCTGTAGAAAGTAGCAGTAATGCTTATAAATAATATACATTACTACATCATATTTGTATTTATATTTACCATATTACCATATTTAGTAATTGAATATACTGTTACCTTTCTTTTTTTTCACCTTTCTTGCAAATATCAAATTTTGAGTAATACAGAAAGACAATGTGAATCCTTCAAATTGTTGAAAATTTCATTTAAGTCTTCATTACAATGTTTAGGAAAATACTATTAAGTAAGTAATTTGGAGAATTTAGACATTTTACTAATAATGACAACCTAGTTATTATGTTGGACTTCTACTACCCAGCAAGGCAAAACAAACATACATACTAGTAAGCAAACATAAAACAATTTGCATTCTCCTCTGAATAATTAAAAAACTGCTACTGACCCATCCATGTGCAGGTTACGGGCTACAAGGTAGTTTATACAAAACAGCAACAACCAAAACACCTGCCCTAGTAATCTCCCTACTGGGAGCAAAGGAATTTAAAAACTTGGTTTTTTCTAAGCTAAATTAATTTGTGGCTTTATTATGTGACTAATGAGCAACTTAAAAATGTTAATACACAACATTTAATTGCAAAATAAAGAGAATAAAGAATTTTAAAACTTTCAGTTACAGATTCCCATACTGCTAAGCATTTCTATTAATATCAACTTATGAGAAAGTTAGGCCAACATAAATAAAAATTCAATTAATCTTTCTATGTATTTTAAGTTTGTGGAGCACATTCAAGAAATACATTTTTCTCTCCATGTATGTCTGTTGAAATAGGTTATTCTTTATTTCAATGTCCAAAAACTACCATTTAATTTTAATCTTTAAATTATTCTCTAAACCATGTTTTCCCAGGTTTTACTGAACTGACAACTTTTCATAATCACTGCACTGCTACACTGAATTTTAGATTATAGAACAGGAAACACAAACTGCTTGCTTCGGACTTTTGCCTTCAAACAAGATATAACTATCCGTTTTCTTGCACACTTAGGCCAGAGAGGCAAAATTTCAAAGGAAAATTTGAAATACAGGTTAAATCACCACCACTCTTATGCAGAGTAAATAAGACAATTCATAGATCAACCAATGCACAGAATGTTAAAGCCCTTGTTAAGTTCATAAATTCATTTTCATCTAACCACTGTCTGGTTATTGCAGCTCTAATGCTATTAGAGTGCTAAACATAGCAAATACAATTTCATACTGTTGAGTTTTAAACTGACTCCTCTTATGGAAATAAAATAATGAACTTACTTTTTGTTTAGTTTTCTTTGAAGGACATTTCTGAACGATTTAGAAGGGTAATCTCTTCAAACCCTTGTTAAAGACTTATATATAAAACAAATGACTTATTTTTTCCTTTTAATACTTGCGTGACAAGAAAGACTGTATTCTTATAATTCACTTAATACATAATATACTTCTCTTGTCTTTCTTATCAAAGCTTTCTTAGTACAACCCTAACATTAAAGCCATCTTCAAACCCGAGTTAAGTAATCTACATAGATGTGTCCGGATGAGAGTAACAATCTTTAACAACCTTAAAAAAGAAACGCTATTTCTAGGAGCGGTGGTAGTTCCCACCCAACACGCCGGTTTCTTACTTGCCTAGTAATAACCAGGTGTGCGACCCTAAAACTCCGGGCATCAGCCCATTAGTCGCGGCGTGCGCCAAGTCCCGCAGGACGCCTGGAGCCTCAGCCTGCGCGCTCGGGGGGCTCGGGACCCCACGCGATGCCTAGGCAGTGGAGATCACCGCCTTCCGCCCACTCGGCCCCGGCCTCTCACCCCCTGGCCCCACCGGCTCCCTACCTGGAGGAGGCGGCGGCAGCTGCGGACAGCACCAAGTGCTGAAGCAGGCACCGCGGAGTGCTAGCGCCGCCCGCCCGCGCGGACCGCCCCGCCCTCCTCGCCGCTCGCCCAGGCTCCCAGGGGCGGGGCGGGGCGGCCCGGCCCGGCCCGGCCCGCGGGCTGCAAAGGGCGGGGAGGCGGGCTCTGCAAACGCTACCGCACAGCCGGCGTGGACGGGTGATTCTCCAGGTCCCGCCCCAAGGTCACGTGACAACCACACTGGGAGCTGATTGGAGCGTATGAGAGGCGAAAGCGGAAGTGGCTCCTGACCTCTGGAGACTAGGCGGAGGATGAGGTGGTTACCTAGCAACAGGGCGTCTGAGCTGAAGATGTAGTGTGGAAGCATAGGGACAAAGCTTAAGACATCTGCTGGCAGAGTATCAGCTGTGAGATTGAAGGAGGAGGAAAACCGTGACCGCCCCCCCAGTGTTATCACCACCTGACATTCCATATCAACTCTCTATTTCTAAGGAAATGAGTCAATTGCACAATAAACACATCATCTGATCTCCTTTGTGAGACTGGAGGAGGAAATTGAGCCTCCTTCAGAGCCTTAGCTGCAGGAGTCTTGAACCGTTGCCTCGAATGTGCAATGTGCGGCATGGTGTATCTCCTGCACTTCTTGGTGACTGATTGGGCTCTGGTAGCTCTGTGGGAGACATCTGTGGATGACATTCTTTGCTAATCAAGATTTACGTAGTTAATATATCTGCCCTCCCAGGGCGCAAAGCTGGTATTTTCCCTGTGGAATCTAGTTGAATGGAAATGCTAGGTATTGTCCATAATATTACGTTCTTCAAATATCTGAAATCTCTTCACTATCTGTGACCTTTATCCAACACAGTAGAGAAAATAGGCCTTTGCATACTCAGAATACAGTTTCCTTAATAACCTTTATCGAGCTTTAAGTATATGCCAGGTTCTGAATAGCTTAAATTAATAGTCTACCCCTACAAGGGAAATTCCCTGGGCACCATTCCTACCCTCCTGTGTGGTACATTTTTCTGCTCTTTTCTTGAAGCGTACTGTCTGTAGAGACTGTTTCCTATCATGGCTTTTATCCTATTTTTGTAAATTAAATTTTACTTAAAAGTTGACTCTGCTTATAGACAATTAACTTGTTAAAAACCCAGATCAGCTCTTACAACTCTGTTCCCTGCATTCTAACAAAGCAACTAGTGAACAGATCTTCAACAAATGTTTGATGGTTATGTGAATAAATTAGCACATAATCTACCAGAAAGAACAAAAGGGCAGCACCTAAATATAATTCAACGTATTAAGTTCTAAAACAGAGTTATATAAAAGTGCTATGAGATTCAGAAGAAGGAGTAAGGGAGAAACTTTTCTTCTAGGGTATCCAGGGAAACTTTCAGTAAGAGTTGTATTGTAGCAGACAATAAATAAATAGATTTCATCTGATGGTAAAGGAGAAAGAATGTACTATGTAGCATAAACAACATTGCCAAAAGCACAAAGTTGGGAAAGTACACCATAGATTTAATTAATTTTGACTTGTTGATATTCTCTGGAGCAGGTGTGATTGGTTATCCAAAGATATGAAAGGGGCTAAATTGGTAAAGGGAAAGATTAACTAAAAAAATAAGACTCAAAATTTCATATTTAGGTTAGACATCAAGCTCAAAGAAGCTATACAAGTTAGTAACATCAGGGGGTTTTACAGAGATGAAAAACATGATCAAGTAGGAGAAAAATCTCAAATTCATGGAAAAATATACCGATGGCCTGTATTGAGACAATTAAAATAAGAATGGTGAAGGGGAAGATTGCACGAAACATTTATACAAAAATATATTTCAGTTTTCATTTGTGACTAATATTATTTTTTTAAATTATTGGTGGCTGTACTGGGATTTGAACTCAGAGGCACACCCGCAGCTCTTGTTGTTTTATTTTTCAGATTGGGTCTCCAGTTTTTTTCCTGGGATGGCCTCAAACTATGAACTTCCTGTTTCCTCTTCCCAAGAATTTGGGATTACAGACATGAGATACTGCATCTAGCATGATTAATATTTTCCATGTGCAAAGCTGAATTGTTGGTAATGTACCTAAAGAGGAAAATTCTCCAGTTAAGAACATAAAACCAAATGAGACATTTGAGAGTATCTAATTGTGCACTAGATAAAGGTATTAAGGCCTCAACAGTTACAAAATGTGTCCAGTGTTTCAGGATATATAGCCAGCCCGTCAGCCAGCCAGACAGCTATCCAGCTATGTTAAAGCTATATTAATACTATGAAGAGTCTTTTAGTTTATCACTCTTATCCCTTTACCATGAGTCAATTTTCAATGGGATATTGAAATAATTGAAACCATAGTTTGATCTAGAGAAATAATATAACCTAGTTTCTATAGAAAAAAATCTCACTCTGATTTTCATTCATTTATTCAATAAATGTTTAATGTGATGCTTTAGGGAACCAAATGACTAATCAATTCGTCTTCAAGGCTAGGCTTGTTCTTTAAGATCAGTAGCTTTGAAAAGGAATTCAATGCAATTAAATGTGACAAATGCTCTTTTGGTGGATAGTTTGAATAAAAAACAACTAAGAAGAGGCTCTTTAGATTCAACTAACTAAAATGGCTTCTCATACTATTATTAATGTAATGAAGGTCAGAATAGCTGGGCACTGGTGGCTCATGCTTGTAATCCTAGCTACTTGGGAGGCTGAGATCAAGAGGATCACAGTTCAAGGCCAGTCCAGGCAAATAGAGACTCCATTTCCAAAATAACCAGAGCAAAATGGACTTGAGGTGTGGCTCAAATGGTAGAGTGCCTGCTTTTCTGAATTCAAACTTCAGTCCCACCAAGAAAAAGAAACAGGATAGAAGTAAGTGCAACAAAAATGGCTTATCAAACTTATGGGAATTAAATACACAGAGAAATAAAACTTAAAAATTTATTATGTGTAAAAGCACTTAAAAACTGAAATCATTTTAATAGAAATATAACTTAAATCCACAATATTGAATATTAAGGAAAATCTTTCAAATGTTAAAATGAACATTTCTATTTTATGAAATATATTAACACTTATTACTCTGTTCTTTTTGAGATATAAAGGTTTAAATAGCCAATAATGGCTGAATAGTTGAGAGTTTATCACTAGATCAATATTTATTGAGTTCTTTTTTATTATGAAGTATTTAAACACAAAAGTATGAAGGACTATAGTAAATACAGTCTTTAGATCTATAATCTTTAGATTTCTTCCATATTTCCTTTCATTCTTCAAAAATCATACAGAGTGAAATCATCTTTTTGTTTTTCTTGTCATTGGATCATTTTGCCCGAATGGAATTATCCCACAAATGTATTCTAAATTTGCTTTTTTTCCTGGCATTATTTTTTAACTATTATATGTGTTGGTATGTGTAGTCATAATTTATTTATTTTGACTAATAAAATACATTGCAATTATTGATTGATTGATGAGAATTTTAAGTGTGTGGACTTTTTCCTTTTATTAAATGCAGCAAACCTTCTTGTATGTACAGGTTATAAAGAGGTTTTCGGGTTATAAAGAGGAATCTCTGTGTTATGATACATATGCATCTTCAAGTATAATATCTTTTACCAAATTGCTCTCCACTGACACTGCAACAAGCAATGGGTGAATGTTTTTCTCTATCTCATCATCAAAAGCATATTTTCATAGTTTCTCCAATCTAAAGAATGGACATTTACATCTCTACATGATTTAAATTCTTATTTCCTGATTATTGAGATGGAATGAATTTTGTGTGTTTATAATCTGATTGTTCATTTTCTTTAATTTTCTTTGTTCAATTTTTCCTTATTAATTTGTTGTTCTTTAAATATTCGGGGCATTAATCTTTGTTAGATATACCCATTGCAATTCTCTCTAACACCTCAGTAGTGAAAAGTTCTCAGTCATTGCTCAGAATATTTATTTATTTCCCACTCCTAAAATTTAAGTGGACCTATATTAGAGTTGTTAATCCTATATGCCATGCTTTATTACATTTTTCATACTTAGATATTTGTTCTTTTGTTCTCAATTCTGTGTGGCTTCTGCAAGAGTCTCTCTGTACCGTGATTCAACTTAAGAATTTTTTTTTTCTTTAAGTAGTTTCAAAGTGATGATCCTTGCTCCTGCCCCAGCTTCACCACCCTTGTTTTTTATTTCTCAACACATGCTAAATCTTATCTAATGCAGACACCTAATCTGAAAGATTTATGGTTTTAGCCCCAACTCATCATATTTAATCCACAAATGTGCTTATTGAATTTTTAACTAAAACCAATAGCTCTAATATTCAAATTCCCAAAATCATGATTCTCCAACCTGCCTGAAATGCTGACATATATGTAGGAAAATATTTTTATATATTCATGTAAAAGTTGCATATGAATTAACAGGGTTCACTTTCTAAAATCTCAAGGCTACAATGACCCTAGCTTCCAAAACCCTTCTGGATTGGCCCATGTTTCTATAACACATTTTGCACAACTAGAATGCCTTGCTTTTGACAGAATATCCATTTTTATAAACTGAATTTGAAGTGCACTTTTTATTTTTCCTTCCACACACCATAATTCCTTCTTACCTTTTTTCAGTTCAATTTGTTTTACATACAACATAATGGATAGCTTCAGCTGCTATCCTCTCAATCCACTACAGTATTAGTGCCAAAATCCCACTTCACTCTCATAAATTTTATCTCAATAATTATTGCTTCACCTTGGAAAATAACTAATTTTCCACAGTTAATATCCCAATAATGCATAATTTGCCCATCAGATCAATGGAAATGTATGTTAATACATTTCTTTTAAAGACATGGGTGGAAAGTCATTGAAAATCTTTTTATCCTTTTATGTTTGCTTGAAGTTTTTGTTTTTTATTTTTTAAATTTTATTTTATAAATTTTATATTTACTTTCATGTGTATACATTATCTGGGCCACTCCTCCCCCCCCCCACCTCTGGGCAGAACCTTTTTTGTTTTTTGGAACAGAATCTTACTAA